ATGATAGTCTAACTAGTTAAGCTAGATGACTCTTCTCCTTCAATTCATTTTGTAAAAATGCAGATCTGGGCTGGAAAGGTGACTCATGCCTGTAATCCCAGCACTTTGGGAGGCTGAGGTGGGTGGATCACCTGAGGTCAGGAGTTCAAGACCAGCCTGGCCAACATGGTGAAACCTTGTCTATACTAAAAATATGAAAATTAGCTAGGCATGGTGGTGGACACCTGTAATCCCAGCTACTTGGGAGGCTGAGGCAGGAGAATCACTTGAACCCAGGAGGCGGAGGTTGCAATTAACCGAGATCATGCCACTGGGCATGACTCCATCTCAAAAAAAGAAAGAAAGAAAATACAGATCTGGTTATTAGGATAAAATCTATCTCTGCTTTATTTCACAATACTCTCAATTTGGCTCTCCCTTCTCTATTTATGCTGTTGTTCTTTTACTTTGTCAAACACATCCTCTCATTCTTGGACCTTTGCACCTGTTCATCACTTGACTTATGAACTAATCTCTCACTCCTACAAACTCCAGCTTCCTCCTCCGGCTAACTCCCTTAAGTCTCAAGTAAAGTAGGTAATCTTCAGTGAGGTCTTCCTGAGCCCCAGATATCATTCCTACCTGCTCCTTAAGAGGCATAATAACTTGTTACTAATTAAAAACTTATTTCCCTGCCCTCTGCCTATTGCTTTACCCTCACCGTTCACATTCAAGCCACAATGCATAGGCTGCTGTTTATCCCTGATGATTGCTATTGGAGTGTACTCAGAATGTATGCTTCAGATTCTTAGATTCTGTACTTAAAATTTAATGGTGCATAAATATTTTAGAATCTTTTTTCCCCTGCCTATTCATTCTAAACTAGATAAACAATTTTGAAACCTCTACTCTCACAGTCTTCCCCATCTTAGTTGATGGATATGCTGTCCTTCCAGCTGCTTAGGCCAAAAACCTTTAATTCCTCTCTTTCTCTCATAGCCCACATCCAATCCTCAGCAACTCACCTCAATGCTATCTTTAGAATAGATCTGTATTCCAACATTTATTACTTCCAGAGTGGTGCCCTAGTCCAAGCCACCATTTTCTCTTGCTGAAATATTGTAATTGTTTCATCATTGGTTTCCCTGCTTCTATCTTTGACTCATCTTTTCGCATCAATCCTTTCTGCATACAGCCTCAGAATAATCTTTTCACAGATAAGTCATTCCTCTGTTCAAAACCATTCAATCACTTCTGTTCTTTCTCTGGATAAAATTCAATGCCTTACAGTGGCTGTAAGACCTTATATAATCTGGCCTCTTGTTACCTTTGTGATCCGATCCTCTACTTCTCTTCATACCACTTCACTCCACTCCACTGGTTGGTGGGGTTCACTCACTGTGGGGTGGTAGGGGAGGTGGCGGAGGTGGTGGGGTAATGAGGCTAATTCTGCAAATTCAAGAAGAACTACAAACTCCATTCAGCTACTGCTGTGGGAAGACCTTATTGCTGCTAGGGTGAAGAAATAATTGCTGGAGTGATGCTACCAGGAATCGAACAAGAAGAATTTTCCTCTTCCTTCTCTAGCCTCCTTACTGTTCTTAGAACACTTTAAGCACACTTTACTTCAGGGCCTTTGCACTTACTGTTAAATACTCCCTCTACAGATATTCCCATGGTTCACTTCCTCACTTAATTCAGATCTTAACTTAAATGTCTCCTTATCAAAGTGGCCTTCTCAAAACTGAAAAAAGATATGAATGAAGAATGAAATAAATGAAGAGCTATACTATGTTCATAGATGGAAATGCTCAATATTGTTAGGATGCTAATTCTCTCCAAATTTATCTATGTTTTAATGTAATTCCTATCAAAATTCCAGCAAGTTTTTTTTAATAGATAATGACAAGACAATTCTAAAGTGTATATGGAAAGACAAAGAAAATAGAATGGTAAAAAATTATAAAAAAGAAGAAAAAACTTGTAGAACCCACACTACCCACTTTCATGAGTCACTATAAAGCTACAGTAATTAAGACTGTGATACTAGCAAAAGGATATACATATAGATAAATGGAGTGGAAGAGAGAGCTCAGAAATAAATACACAAATATGGTTGCCTGATTTTTGACAAAGGCACACAATTTCAATGGAAAGAGAATAGTCATTTCCACAAATAGTGCCGAAATAATTTGATGTTCATATGCCAGAAAAGGACCTCAACACATATTTCACAGCTTATGTAAAAATTAACTGAAAATAGATCATAGGTCTAACTGTAAAACCTAAAACTGTAAAACTGGTCTGGAGCTTGAGACCAGCCTTGACAACATAGTAAAACCCTGTCTCTACTAAAAATACAAAGTTAGCTAGGCGTGGTAGTGGGCACCAATAATCCCAGCTATTGAACCTGAGAGGCAGAGGTTGCAGTACACCATGATCATGCCATTGCACTTCAGCATGGGTGACATGAGTGAAACTGCATCTCAAAATAGTAATAAAAAAAAAAAGTAATTACTGACATGGAAGAACTTAATATTGCCATTTTGTAATTGTATTCTGTGTGTTTTATAACTGTTTTTGTCCCCCTTTTCCTCTCTTGCTGTCTTCCTTTGTGTTTCAGTGATTTTTGTAGTGACATGTTATGACTCTTTTCTCATTTTCTTTTGTGTATTCTCTATAGGCATTTTCTTTGTGGCTACCATGGAGCTTACATTAAAAATATTGTAGCAATGTATCTTAAGCTGCTAACAATTTAATTTCAATTGCATACAAAATATCTACTCTTACTCCCCTCAAAACTTTATGTTATTAATGTCATAATTTACATGTTTTATATTATGTACCATTAGCATATTTTATAGTCAGTTATTTTTATACTTTTGTCTTGTAACTTCTATACGAAAATTAAAAGTATGTTATATACCATCACTTCAATATTACAGTATTCCATATTTACAAGTGAGCTTTGTACTTTTATATGTTTTCATGTTGCTGTTTAGCATTCTTCATTTAAGTTTAAAGAATTCCCTTTAGCACTTTTTGTAAAGCGATGAATTTATTCAGCTTCTGTTTATCTGGGAAAGTCTCTATTTCTCCTTTTTTTGTTGTTTGTTTTAATTAGAAATGAGTTCCACTATGTCACTGAGGTTGAAATGCAGTGGCTCTGCAGTGGGTATTCACAGGTGATATCACAGTGCACTACAGCTTCAAACTCTTGGGCTCAAATGATTCTCCCAACTCAGCCTCCTGAATGGCTGAGGCTACACGTACACAACACAGTCCTCTCTTAATTGCTGAAGGACAGTTTTGGCAGTTACACTGTTCTTGGCTGACAACGTTTTTTCTTCTTTCAGTATTTTGAATATTTATCCCCCCTCCTTCTGGCTTACAATGTTTCTGCTGAGAAATTCACTGATAGTCTTATAAATGACAAGTAGCTTTTCTCTTGCTGTCTTCAAATTTTTTTTTTTTTTGCAGTTTGACATTTGATTATAATATATATTGGTGTTGATAAAAGAAAAACTGCATCTGAATTAAATTTAAAGGAATTGAATTGGGCAATAAACGATTCAAACATTGGGCAGCCCCCAGAATCACAGCAGATTCACAGAGACTCCAGTGCAGCCAGGTGGTGGAAGAAGATTTACAGACAAAAGAAAAAAAAGGGAAATGACATATAGATATCAGCAGTGAGGTGTAGAAGCAGCTGGATTGGTTACAGGTTGGCGTGTGCCTTATTTGAACACTTAGCAGTTTATGAGTAGTTAAAGTATGGCCTCTGGGACTGGCCAAGTCTCAGTTATTGCTACAGGCACATACTCCTAAGTTAGGTTTTAGATTTTGTCTATTAAGCTACTTTACAGTTGATCCACAAGGACTCAAATACAGAAGCATGGATTCTTTCTTAGGCCATCTGCAGTTTGCTTTCACAGTGTGCACTTCTTTGGAATCATCTAGTTGGAATATGTTATGCTTGTTGAATCTGGATGTTCATTTCATTTCCCAGATTTGTGAAGTTTCTGTTTCTGCAAATAAACTTTCTGCCTCTTTCTCTCTCTCTCTTCTCTTCTCTTCTCTACTCCCATATCCATAAGTTGGCCCAGTTGCTACTGTCACATTAGTCCCTTAGGTTTTTTCTTAACCCTTCCTACTTTTTTGTTGTTGTTGCTCTGGATGGAAAATTTCAAATGATCTGTTTTTGTCTTTGCTGATTCTTCTGCTTGATTAAGTTGATAGTTGAATTTCTCTAGTGAATTGTTCAATTTAGTTATTGTATTTGTCAGCTCCAAAATTTTTGTTTTTTTAAAAAATATGTTCTCTCTCTGTTGATATTTTCATTTTGTGGAAATCATTTTGTTGAATCATTTTCCTGAGCTTGTTGAACACCTTTATGGCAGCTATTTTGAGGTTTTTTTAAGGTAATTTCTTTAAAATTTCTTTAGGGTTGGCCGGGCGCAGGGGCTCATGCCTGTAATCCCAGCACTTTGGGAGGCAGAGGCGGGCAGATCACAAGGTCAAGAGATTGTGATCATCCTGGCCAACATGGTGTAACCCTGTCTCTACTAAAACTACAAAATTAGCCCGGCATGGTGGCACACACCTGTGGTCCCAGCTACTCGGGAAGCTGAGGCAGAAGAATCGCTTGAATCCAGGATATGGAAGTTGCAGTGAGCCAAGATTGTGCCACTGCACTCCAGCATGGCAACAGAGCAAGACTCTGTCTCAAAAAAAAAAAAAAATTCTTTAGGGTTAATTTAGGAGATATTTTGCTCCATTAATTGGTCCTTGTTTCCCTGTTTCTTTATGTGTTATAACTTTGTGCTGACAATCATACATTGAAAAACGCAACAACTACCCCTTCCAGGCTTTATGGACTGTCTTTATATAGGGAAAGACTTTCATCAAGCAGCACAGCTAAAGACCGTGAGAGTTTCTCAAACCTTTTCTGTGGATGCATTTTCTCTGGAGTTGTGCATATAAATTCTGAAATAGAAGGATTTACTGTTTTTTTTCTTCAGGAGCCCTCATCTCTTGCTCTCTTTGGTGTCTGCCAGTAGTGCTGTTGGTTCTCTAGAGCTTATGCCAGCTGCTCAGCTCCGTTTTTCTCAGTGCCCCCAGGCTTCTAGAGTATGATGAATCCTATCAGCAATCCAAGTCAGGTAAGAGAGAAACCAGTTTTGGGCAGCTCCCTGAAAAGCCAGAGCATTGGATGCATACTTCACTGTTTCCTTCTATCTTTATAGGAGAGGTTGCTGAACTGAATGACTTCTGTCTGCTGTTTCGCAAATTCTCTGGAGCAGCAACAAACCACCTAGCTATCTTTTGTTGTCAGTGGCCCCTAAGTACCTGTAATATGCTACATTTGTCCATGCTCTGAGGCAGGAGAGACAAAAACCAGTCCCCTGAAAAGCCAGAACACTGGATACATGTTCCAAGTCTTTCACTTCCCAGGAAGAAGCTGGGAGTTGAGGATTTTCTTCCATTTGTTCTGCACTGAGCCAACAGGAGGAATTATACTGAATGAGGGCATGCTACTTCACACTGTCACCTTTAGTGGTCTCCAACCTCAAAGACTTACCTGTTAGCACCTAGATTTAGGCAAGACAGAAACCAGTCCCTTGAGGAACCATCCCCCAAAATCAAATGTTTAATGTATGCCTCAACCTCCTTCTTCTCTACAGGGAGAAGGCAGAAGTTGGAAGTTTTATCCTGATCCTACCACACTGATCAAGGGAGAGGACTATGGTCGGTGAGTGGTACAAATTTTCCCATTGGCTTTGATGCAGCTGGTTTCATGCTCTTCTGGAGTGCAGGGTCATCTTAAGGGATTTGTTGATTTCTCATAAGGGAAATTGATCCATGCATTGTTGTTGCAAGTTGGTGTCTTTGTCAGGGCAAGGAAGGTCTCTGGCTTCCTATTGTGCCATATTGCTGACACCAGCCTCTTGTGATGAGTTTTAAGATGCAACTCCAAAATCACATTCCATAGAATAAATAAACTGGTAAGTTTTTTATGAAAAACTTCTGTTTTGCCAAAGATAATGTTAAGAGAATGATAAGGCAAGCTAAACACAAAGGGAAAATACTTGTAAATTACGTATTTCATAAGACTTCTATCCAGAATGTATGAGCTCTTCCAGCTCATTAATAAGAAACTAATAAGCAATTAAAAATGGGAAACAGGTGACCAGATGCTTTGCCAAAGAAGATATATGTATATATATAGTTTACAGATAGGTATGTGAAAAGATGTTTGACGTCATTTTTCTTTAGGAAAATGTAAATTAAAACTACAATGTAAATTAATTGATTAATTGATTTTCTTTAAGAAAAAGTAAATTAAAACCACTACACACCTCTTACAGTATGTATGCATAAATACTTGATATTTCTTTCTTTAGGATGTAGAGCTTATTTCTCCTACCCTTGAATGCATGCTGACCTTAAGTGACTCTAGAAAATATTCTGACAAATAAGAATGTGGAAAGGGAAAAATAATAGCTTTACAATAAAAAAAACATGGCAGACACCACCTTAACCAAGTGATCAAGTTTAACATCACCATTAAAGTTACGTTGTTGACATGTACTAATGGATGTGATGTGATAAGAAGAATGCTTCACTTCTCTGGTATTGTTCCCCAGAGCTCCTAACACCAGTCTAATAATAAAAAAAAATCAGATAGACTCTTATACAAATTATTTGGCTAATATTCTTCAAAACTCTCAATGTCACAAAAATAAGGACTGAATGATTATCTCAGATCAGAGACCAGTTTGGAGACATAAGGATTAAATTCAGTGGGATATCCTTAATTGGATCCTGGAATGGAAAAAGGACATTGTCAAAAAACTGGTGTCATTCAAATAAAATCTTAAGGTTTTTTTTTTGTGTGTGTGCTCTTCCTTGGCCAGTCTATCTAAAATATCACATTTCTGGGCTTCCTGTCCTCTAAACTTGTCTTATATTTCTTTTTAGCTTCTGCCACCTCTTGACTGTGTTATATTTATTGTTTGCTCCTCCCAACGAAATACCTGCTCTATGAGAGGGAGTGGATCCAAGTTTTATGAAATACAAAGATTTTGGCTGGGCACGGTGGCTCACACTTGTAATCCCAGCACTTTGGGAGGCTGAGGTGAGCGGATTAGGAGGTCAGGGGTTCAAGGCCGGCCTGGCCAACACAGTGAAGCCCTGTCTCTACTAAAAATACAAAAATTAGCTGGGCATGGTGGCAGGCACCTGTAATCTCAGTTACTTGGAAGACTGAGGCAGGAGAATTGCTTGAACCCAGGAGGCAGAGGTTGCAGTGAGCCGAGATTGTGCCACTGCACTCCAGCCTAGGTGACAGAGCTAGATTCCATCTCAAAAAAAAAAAAGGAAGATTTTGTGAACCCTATATAAGAAAAGTAAAGAATGTAAAATGAGGTACAAGATATATGTCTAATTAAAATAAGAAAAGAAATCAGAACAAAGACATTTAAAAAATCTAGCAAAAAATTAATACACTATTTTTATTAATTAAGTACCTGTTATGCTTCTCTATTTTTTTCTGTTTGGGGCTACATATTCATTTGACTGCCTCTGTGTGTGAAAATAATTTTGCAATATATTTCTGATAAAGATAAAAGAAAAATATTTCAGTCTTTCTTCTGGCACTTGGCCAGTTTTTTTGTTTGTTTGTTTTGAGACTAAGCCTCACTCTGTTGCCCAGACTAGAGTGCAGTTGCATGATCTCAGCTCATTGCAACCTCTGCCTCCTGGTTTCAAGCAATTCTCATGCCTCAGCTTCTCGAGTTGCTGGGACTACAGGTAAGAGCCACCAGACCCAGCTAATTTTTAAATTTTTTAATATTTTTAGTAGTTTTTCTTTTTATTGTATTTTTTGTAGAGACATGCACCACCATGTTGCCCGGGCTAGGCTCAAACTCCTATGCCAGGATTACAGGCATGAGCCACTGTGCCCAGCCAGCCACTTTGTTTTTATTATTAATAAATGGAATTTACAAAACACGCAACCTAACATCCAGATAAGCCCACTGAAGTATTGCTACAAATGTGTGCTCTGCAAACACAGGAATTCTAATAAATTCTATTTTGCACAATTCCCATTAAGAAATGTATAGTTCATTTATAACTGTATACTTTATTGAGTATATTGCCAACAAGAGAGAATTTGAGTAAGAATGAATGAAACTCAAATTATCTCTAATAATTGTATTTGAAGACTGGAAGAGTGTTTCACAACTAGCTTCTGACTCAAATCTTGTTTCAGTCCTGTTTCTCCTCCTCTGATCACAAACTTACAGAACTTGTTACTGTAGGACAATTTATTTCATGGCATATTCTTTGGGTCTGTACCATTGTGTCACACAGTTGGTAAATTAGCAAAATAGGCAGTGGTAGTATTCTTGGAAACCATCCCTACATAAGAACAATTAAATAACTTCATACAGAAGTGCCTGCATACCACCTATATACATTCTATTAAGCCCAGATTAGAACTATTCCTAACTTGACTTCTCCTTAGATAGAGTCCAAAAATATCTTCTGCCACTCAAATATTATTTGATATAAAAAGAAGTATAATGGTGAAAAAATTGGAGTGGGGACAGCATTGTTAACCAATTGCAAATAAAATGTCTTCTGCAGATTTCATAAGTTTTAAAAAATATATAAACCATTTGAACATGTTGCCACGGTCCCCATTGGGGCCTAAGAAAAATATCATGCAGGTGAAGAGCCCTGAAGCTTAAACTTCATTCGTTTTTCATTCATGTCCCTAAGAGTAGAAGACTTTTTGTTTGATTATGGCTACATTCTCAGTACATAGAATAGTGTCTTACGTGAAGTAAGTATACAATAAATATTTTTTAAATGAAAAAATAACAAAGGAGTGGGAGGAGGAAGAAGGAAGGGAGGAAGAAATGGAGGTAAGGGAGGAAGGGAAAGAGGGACGGAAGATGTGGAATAGTACTTTGCATAATTTGTATTATAAAAGCATAATGTGATTTTCCTACACTTGGTGAAAAATAACTAGTGTTAGTTATACTTATTTCCAAGGAAGAACATTTCATTGGGACACATGAGGTACTTTAGGACCCTAAACTGCTCCACATTTTAGAGAACAAGTCAATACAAGGAGGTAATGGATGAGCCTGCTTTGAGCTCAGAAAAGGAAGAATTATGATATGGCCCAGGAGAATGGAGTACTGGATAGAAGAAATTTGGAAAGAGTAACAAGAAGAAACTAAAATTATGTTAAAGGTTTATATACAGATATAAATCCAAGCAGGCATATCCAAGAAATGTCGGGCATACTGAAGTCTTCTCCTGTTGACTCTAGAAAGGCAAGTGTTATTGATAAATCACATATCTCACGTGCATTGACTCGTCAATTCTACTTAGGGTTGATATTCAGTAGCAACATACCAGTATGACCACCCTATAGTTAGAATATTTAAATATTTTCATAAGAGCTGGGAAAGAGTAATTTCCCCAGGTCCTTTAAGACTTGACCTATTGCCATGGTCACCCTGGCCCCTAAATTGGAATTTCCCAGACCCCCGCAACTAAAAGAGTAAGTCTAGGGTCACATCCTGCTTCAGCCATAAATTTGTTGTGATAGGTTACTGTGCTCATTGTTGAGTCATTTGCATATATTCTCTGGTTCTACTAAGCAGTCAACATCGCTGTATGAAAGAAACCATGAACTAAGGGGAGGCCTAGTCTCACTTTTTTGCTACCCTGTGTTAGCCTAGGAATACAGCAATACAACTGTTTGCTTTAGACTGATGGCTCTCTAGGGTTGGGGTTTCCTAGGGTGGAGCATTGGACAGGTAGTCAGCTTTCCCACAGAGCTACATGAGGGCAGAAGACAAGTCTCTTCTAGTTATTGTGGCATCTCTAGCAGCTAGCCCAGTGATGGAACATAGTAAACACAAACATTTTTTTTTAAGTTGAACAGTAAACAAGAAGGTAGAATTTTAAAGGTCTAGATCTGGAAATATCATCTAAAATTATAGAAAAAACTTATTTAAAAATTTCCCTGTTATGCAGTAGGGAATCTGAGGCCTGAAAAGTTAAGGGTCTTGCCCAGAAACTATGAGTTTTTAACATAATTCGTTGCAGAACCCTGGCCTCTTGTATCTTCATTCAGTGTTCTTTTTACTAGATGGGGCTTCTCCTCTCAGATCCAAAGAGACAGGTAACCCCAGTACAAATTTCTCACAGCATGGAGAAATTCAGAGATGACCACAGTTCTCTGTCACTCTTGTGGCAACTGAAAATTTTAAGTGAAAGTCAGTTACACAGGGAAGTAATCTCATATAACAGCCACAGTTGTTTGGGTTTGCTCCTATTCTTGGAATTGGTGGGCAGGGTGAGGTCAAGAGTTTGGACAGAATGGGAAAGTTTGGAACAGCCACTGTAGAATGTGTGAGGGGATGATAATAGAGTTGAATATGAAGATTGTTGAAGGCTGGAAGAATGAGGAAGAAGTTGAGTAGGATGACTACGTATGGACCAGTTCAGCATGGTAGATTTATTTATTTATTTATTTTTATTTATTTATTTATGAGAGAAACTTGCTTTGTCACCCAGGCTGGAGTGCAGTGGCATGATCTTGGATCACTTCAACTTTGGCCTCCTGGGTTCAAGGTGATACTCCCACCTCAGCTTCATGAGGGTTGCTGGGATGACAGGTGACAGATGTGCACCACTATGACAGCTGGTGTTTTGGTGTTTCTTTTT